GATACAGTGAGCAACAGAATCCTTATTCATGTTGTTTCATCAGAGGAATTTAGGATATTTCACCCATTTAAAAATTTTTGAATAAAAGATTCTGCACACATTTATTTCTGAGAATGGCTATACTACACTATCATCAAACTAGCTTTTGCTGTATAATCTGCTCCTGAACAGAATTAATCAATAACTGGACTTATTTCCAGTTTATCAGATGAATATTTAAGTAGCCCTATTTCCAGTCATGTCATTTTCAAGGGTTTTGGTTCTTTTCAACTCAAATATTCTTTCCCAGAAATCTCAGGATTGTGTATTCTCCTTTACCAGTTTGTGCTATAAACAGTGCCTCTTCCAAGTGGGTTCCAAAGAACAAACACCACACCGGTTAACAGAAAGTCAGCTTCTTCCCTTCCTCTCCTTTCTCTGGTATTTGCATCCACTAATGGTTCAAGCATCTCCCTTGGTGCAGGGGAGGAGGGGAACCTGGTATTTCTTTCTTCCTTGGGTTGAAGTTGGAAAACGCTGCACCTGCTACCGAAAGCCTTGGTTGTTTTTGATGACACCCTCTGCAGCCTCTCCACTATCCAGTAGCTTAGGGTTGAAGCTAAAAATCAGAGACCTGAGGATGCTTCTTTCACAGGGGATTGCAGCGAGGGGGACAACTCCCTAATCTGGGCAGTCAACCTCTCTGGGCCATAAGGCTTCTGCTTTCTTTGCCTCCCTCCCCACCAGAAGCCAGAAGGCTTTACCTTTAAAATGTCACCCACTGAACTTGGGGAGATGCATCTCAAGGTCAGTGTCCTGGCCTGTTCTTGTCCTGGGTGAGATCCCTGGCCAGGCTGCTGAGGACCTGCCTTTTCTCTCCGATCAAGGAGCCAAGAGCTCTGCACTAAACATGACATTTTTAGTCTCACTGCTATGGGCATTTCCTCCCTAGATACCCTTCTGTTCCCATGCAAAAGTCACTAGTTCCTCTGCAGCACCCTGGGCCTGGCGTTCCTGGAGGGGAGCCATACTGGGGCTGCCCACGGCTGGGGCTGAGGCCTGATTCCGCCATAGCACTCTGTGCCCTGGCACTGGGAGCATGGGGAGGTTCTTGGCAGAATGATGATGGTGACTGATAGTCAACATTCAGTGAGCATTTATTTTTCATGCATATAATCAGCAGTCCATGAATGGGCCCTGCAATTCACATGATAATTGTATAGGTTTTAAATATACCTCCTACCCTCACATTTTAGGGGAATAAGGACTATTATCACCTTCTTACAAACTTTGAAACTGAGTCTGAGTGTAATTTGCCCAAGGCTGTACAGCCAATATGAGTCAGATTTCTAAGGTTCAAGTTATGAGTCACAAGTGTCACTTTCAGGCTTAGACTGATGACCTTGAAAGTAACCACAGCATAATTGCATGTATTCAATGCCTAAAAAATATCCTGTAGCTGATGCTTCATTTCAAAGATGACCAGCTTTGGCAAGCCTCCTTCCTTCCTGCATTTCTTCCATCTGTCCTTTCTGCTTTCCAGTTTGCCTGCCTTTATCCTATCAGCCTTTATACAGCCTGCCCAGGCCATGGACAGGGCTATGTCCTGGCTTTCAAGGAGGAACTAGACCCAGGTCAGGCCCAGAGCAGAAGCCAGGCATGATATAGGTTTCCTTGAAAAGCCCCAAGCCTCACCTGCTTGGGGGAGGGGAAAGAGGGATGCGGCCCCACACAACACACTCCACTTGCTCCTTGCATACAGGAAGGTGTGGGCCATGTTCCATCCGGGCATGAAACTAAAGGTCCTGGGACCTGAACTCCTACTGCTCTGATAATCAGGGCAAGACTCACTCCACTATCCTGTTTTCCTCCCTAAAAGATCCCTCTTTAAAGAGAGAAAAAGAGGAATCGACATTTTGAACTTAAGTAGCTGTATGATCTTAATTTCTCTGACTCTTAGTTTCTTTATTTTATTAAAAAAAAAAGAAATGAAGGAGAAGGAAAGATAACAATAGCTGCCCTAGCTACCTAGCACAAATGCTATAGGATCAAATAAAGTTATAACGCAGGCATAACTAGATTAAATATTATGTAACGTGAGGGCTTTGTATATTCTTAGCATGACGTTTAAAGCTCTGAGCAATGACACCTACCCACATTTCCCCTCCACAGGTGTGCACATATATGCTCCCTGGGTTCCAGCTATAACTATCCAGTTTTGCTTCGATGTGCCCTCAACTCACCTGCCTCCTCGCTTTTGCTTACATGCCTTCCACTGCTTAGGATACCGCCTCCCCATCACTGTCTGTTGACTTGCTCCCTTACTCAAATGTCATTTCCTCTATTCTAAAATAGTGTCCCTTTCCTCACCTGCACCATTGAAAGTTGTGTATTTCTGACAAAATCACAGTCAGCATCATAGCAAAGCTACTTGTTATCTATGAGACTCCTCTGCCTAGATATGCCGTGCATATCTTCAATAAAATGTTTGTTGACTAAAATTCTGCTTCTCTTCTTTACGCCCTTCCCTGCCTGCCCCCAACACCCTGTACCTAATGCATCACCTGGCACATAGCAGGTACGAGTGCATATGTCCTAAGGAGATTTAGGGTTGGTAAATTCAATGGAGGGGTCTCTGTAGGTCATGGAGAATTGAACTTTCCCCTTCAGTTAAGTCAACATCACAGGGAAGGTATGAAGCTTGGCTACACCCTGTTGGGTAGGGATCAGAGGACAGGATGAGAATATCTCCCAAAATGCGGACTGTGGAAATACCCAGATAATTTTAGGTAGAACACGGGTAAACCTTCTTTTAAATTTAATAATTGTATAATCTCATATTTATTAAAAAGGAATATAATTAGCACATCACACCTATGTTTCATAAATATTCTTTAATAAAAGATTTTGCATTTGAATAAAAATGAGTTGATTTAAAGAAAGACAAGTACCATATGATCTCACCTATAAGTGGAACCTAACCGACAATACAAAGATGCAAGGAAAATAAGACCAGCAACACTGAAAGGAAAAGAAACCAACAGAGACAAGAGGGAACGAGGGGGGGGGGCGGGGAAAAGGAAAGGAAGGGGAAAGTCAAGGAACATATAGCAAGGACTCATGGATAAAACCAAAGTGGGGAAGGACTGAGGGAGGGAAGGGGGAGGGGGCAAGGGAGGTGGTGGGGGGAAGGCAGAGACAAATGTATTTGAAAAAATAAATAAATTGATTTAATAAATAAATAAATGAAATAAAAAGAGAAAAACATTATGTAAATAATGATACAGGGCATGGCTCAATGATGTGACATGTGACTGCTTCAGGAAGCAGCAGGACAGAGAAAATGCTTCCGGGAGGTGGAGAAGGAGGTGAAGAGGTGTGTTCTATGGGTCAGTTCTGCTGGGAGCAGCCTCAAGAATTAACAGAACTGTTTACAAAACTGTGACTGTACAAAAACCTTTGTTTGAAAGGCAGAATGCAAATGCAGTATTTTCTCATCACTATTGTTTCTTCATGGGAGTGAAGAAATACGCTGGTGAATGGCAACTCTCACATCTAGCCTTGCGGCTTGAGCACCAAGTTTCTAATGGCCATGGGGTTTTACACTCTTTCCCAGGACCGTCAGATACAAAGCTCCCAAACACGAATTTGCTATTTTTTTCTGCAAAGCACAACCCTTTACAAAAAGAAAAACACTTCAAAGGCAATCCTTTTCTTGTATACAATTCAGGGCTGCATTTGAGATCCACATTCATCTTCCTTATCCAATTACATGATCAAAGCCGAAATGTTTGCCCTATTTTAGGGGTTTAAAAACATCCAGGGAAAAACGAGGAACATTTAAAACTGTCTTTTTTATATGCCACACATCTTCCTTCGGGAGAACTGGCACTCCCACTCTGCTCTTAACTAGTCTCCAGACACAAAAAGTAAGGTCAAAGAATTAGCATGCTCTCATCATCCGCACAATGATCACATCTCTGTAAAGTCCAATCTAATCTCAACTCAGTGCATCTAGGATACCTCTTGTTCTCTACACTGCTCCAAAGTTCCTTCCAGCATCCACTGAGAAACTCCTGATTTTTCTGATTAGTTTTAAAGACCTCTTATTAGTATTAAAACTGAAAAAAAAAACTGCATCATCACTTCATCAGAATCTCCAAACAAGTGGCTCTAACACATCTGTTCATTTTAATGCTATAGGATGGAGTCTGTAGTTCCTAAAATAAGGCACACCTTGTCCTTCATATTAACATTCTCAAATTTGAAACTTTGGTGTTAAAAAAAAAAAGCAAATATGACATCCTGAAAAATATTTAAGTGAACAGACTGCCTATTGGTGGACTGATTTTTCTGTATAGAAATAAATCTCCTGGCAGCCACCAGAATGATGTATAAAAGATGACCTTGGGCAGCTGCTGCCATTCGTTTCTGTGGGAAAATGAGGGGTTTGTTTCTCCCCAGGGGTTCATCCTGCGAGGCTCTTGCCCAGCCTGCTGCTTCTGAAGGGTTACACCGGAGCGGAGGAGCGCTTTGTGGTTTATGACAATATCACAGCAGAATATTTTGTGCACGCTGTGATTTTATCACCCATTTGTGCACAGGCCATAAAAGTGCACTTTTTATCAGGAACATTTGTGAATGTATAACAGCACTGAAGGCATATGGCTACTAAATAATTCACAGTTATCTATATTCTCAGCAGATTCCTTATACACCTACCATGCCTTAATGCCTAGTTTGCTCAGAAACAATATTCTTTTTGACCCTTCCAATACAAAAATGTTTACTGACTAGCAGCAATATGTGGGCGCCATGGGGTGGGGCTGTAAGGAAAGGGAAAGCTTTTTGCTTTCTCCACTTCTCCCTGTCCTCACTCATTTCCCCTGAACTCTTTTATCCAGCACCTAACTGTTTAAGAGAAGGTGCCCTTTTCAAACGTGGGTGCTAAATTCAGACTTCTGGTACTTGGGCAGTAAGATGGAAATCACTGACTAACCTTCGCTCTCTTCTCTTTTCAGTTCTATATCCATTTACAGTCCCAAGGAGAACCCCAATGCGTTTGATGCCGCCGCGTTCTTCCAGTGCGTGGGCAATTTCCTGGGGATCTTCGCAGGCTCATTTGCAATGGGGTCTGCGTATGCTGTTGTCACAGCACTGATATCCTTTGCATGTGGGAAGCTGGGGACTGTTAAGGACAATGTCTTTGGAATGTTTCTGAAAATGGACAACCCCCGGGCCTGGAAATGTCTAGTCCGGTTCAAGGTTGAAGCAGTGCCACTGGGGCCACCTAAGTCATCTTCCAGGCATTGGGGGGTGCCAGTGGCTGGGGGGCCCAGGCTCTTTTCTGGTCCAAGGCCAGTTCTGGCATTGCTGATCCTATATAATCAAAGGATACTAATTGTCTTAAAAATTACTATCTCAGAAAATAGGTGAGCAGTGGGCACCAGGATTGGCTATATTAGGGTCAAGAGGGAGAACTGAAGATACAAGGTCAAGGATAAGTCAGGATTGACTGGAAATGGTAAACTAGGTATCCATATCCTCTACCTTCTTCTTAGGCTTGCATCAATCACTGGCTCACAGAACTGGTCAAACCAAAGATCACTGTGGGTTTAAACAAGCATCTGTAGTTATTTTAGGGAAAGGGACTGAAAGGAAAGCAGAAATGATGTTTGTAGAAATGGTGATCTGGTAATTGTGTCATCGAATTCCCTTTTTTGCAGCAGAAAGGTGGCAGGATTGGTAGTTCTTAGAGGATTTGAGCCAGGGAGTGATGCTGGTCTGGTGGGTTGTTCATTCTGAGTGGTTGGATGGGACAAAAATAAGCCAGATTTGAGAAGGAAATCCAGAAGGCCAATGCCAAGTGTGAGAGTCAAATGAAGGCCACAGAGAAGATGCAGAGCAAAGGATAACTAAAGACCTTGAAGAAAAGAGATGAATGAAAGTTGCAAGATGGGTCTGGGTCCCAGACAAAGAAAAAAAATATTGGGGTCTTTTCCCGTGGAGGCTGACCAGCTACTAAAAGGTTAGGTTCTACTAAGGGTTTCCAAGATACTAGAATGTAAGTAAAACATGTATCCTGCCTTCAGCTAGTAATAGTCTTGGAAAGACAAACTCTACCTAATAGCTGGATCGAAAGTGAGTGCCAAAGCCACAGCCGACTTATTAGAACTATAAAAATTGAAATGAGGATGTGGACATTGTGTCTGGAATAGTCCAATAGACTCTTGGCCAATCTCTTGATTCTGGAAAATAATTTGAAGAACAGTATTTACATGCAAGGTTAGACTTTGGCTTGGCCTCGTAGAATATAGGCAAAGGCTACATGGTGAGTGCTGCAAGAGGACGAGGATGGGACTGAGGGGGCACATAGTGCATGTGTCTGGGAGGACCAGAGGGTTTGGGCTAGTGAGCCATGGAAAGTGAGAGGGAACGGTGGGTTGGAGTGAGCTTGGGGAACATCTGGAAGTGTTACTCCAAGGAGATTCTGCTCAGAAAAGTGACACAATGACAGTTCTGTTTTTAAAACATAAATGAGCAACTGATATGTGGGATGATCAGAGGAGGAGGATTAGACTCAAAGAAACTGTGATGATAAATTCTGGGGACACATCAGGAAGGAGAAATATTAGAACAATTTCTAGAACTTACGGGTTGGTTTATTACAAGAGATAAAGAAGAGGAGAGAATCCAAGTCCACTCCTAAGTTTTGTCCTGCAAATCCTGAAGAATGTCAATTCCATTGAGAGAAATAAAGTCAGTCAGAAAAGGTAGGGCCAATTTCTACAAAAATGCTGATTAAGAATCTATCCACTATTTATACATCAGGACTGGTTTATATACCTAGGAGGTAGGTCGAATCTTTATTTCCATCTTCAGTCAGGGAAATCAAGGCACAGGGGGACCAAGGGGCACGCCCAAGCTAATGTCGTGAATCTGAATCTAGAGACCACAATCTCAACTGTGACACATTCTGCCTCTTCTTGGCATTTTGTGCTTTCAAATACTTTAAACAACATTTTTAATAAGTGTCATCTTGTTTTATTCTTCGCCCTTGTGAGTAGGAATTATTTATTCTCCTTGACCATTCACACAGGATAGCAATGAGACTCAGAGAGGTTAATACACTACTCAGTAGTCACCCATCCAGTGACCAACTGAGCCAAGACATGAAACCTGCATCTTCTACCCCAATGGCATTCTTTTTACTTCCCTTCCCTGCTGCCAAACACCTCTTACTATGGACTCTTTAGGTTTTTATCTAGAGGCATAAAAAATTTACATTTCATCTCCTTATTTGTCAGAGTATTCTTGCCTCACCATGGACACAACTGCTGTAACCCTTTCCCATTGATCAGCCCTAATCGTCTCTCCATTACCCATTCTCTGTATGACTTGGATGACTATACCTTTGCTCTATTACAATGTGGAGACTATTGGCTGAGTGTCATCTTGGCAAAAAAACAAAACAAAACAAAACAAAAAATTGCCTGCAAAAAGGCTTCTTGCTTGACCTAGAAATAATACACACTTCCCTCTATCCTGCTTGTACCAAAAGGACATGTCAGCTTCTCTATCACTGAACCTAATGCTTCTCCTGATCCTATTTCCCTCCCCAGGAAAGAAGAGTGTTCAAGGCGATCTGTCACGGACCAGCACCCCCAGGGAGCAGTGGCCTCCTCGGTGCCGATGCCCCTGAAGCAGCTCGTTCACCCACAGTCTGGGGCATTTTTCCTGGGTTTGCTACAGTCTCCTGAAAAACACACCCCAAGGTCCAAGGCCAAATTCAAGAGGTTTTGTACCCACAGTTAGCTGATTCTATCCACTTGGTAAAACACTTCAAAAAAAAAATGAACATAGGTTTGTGTTTTCCCCCAAGTGTTCAGCCCCCCAGTGAAGCATGAAGCTCATGTTGGCCTTCAGAGTCCTCCCAGTGAGAGTTAACAGCCATCCAGTCAGGTCTGAAAATCAACTCTCTTACTCTAAAACTATCACAACCACATCAGTGTTTCTCAGCCAAAAAGTGGATTTAGCTGTAAAAGCAGATGTTGTTTCCCTTAACGCGTCGTCACTTGACCAAATTTACCAAACTGTGCGAGTTCCCTCTGCTGGAAACAGGCCTGTTTTTCCTGCTGTCTTGGAGCGCCTTCCTGTCTGCCGAGGCCGCCGGCCTAACAGGTCAGTGCTTCATTCTGCACTCATGGGTATCTGAATCAGCCCCTCCTGGGTACTCGGGGGAGAAAAAAAGAATAATTCATTCATTTTGTACACAACAGCTGAACTGAAAGTCTCCAACATGCCATTCCTTCTCTCCTTGCTGCTCAGGAGGGGATAGTGCAATCTACAAATGACTGATTGCTGAGGGTGATGGGTAACATTACCAATGACTGTTAACAGCAACACGTAAGCAGCCTCTCCAGGATGTGCACATCTCCACACGCACAGTGTTTAAAGTCTTCGCACACATTCTGTGGCAGGCCAGAAAACAGAGCTAATGTGGAGGCTCTACAGCCTAATATCTCCTCTATCTAGAGTCCTCTGAAGTGGAACAGTTGATAAATGGGCAGTCCTTAAGGTCCCCGGGGCCATGGATCCTGTGATCTGGATTCAACAATTAGATTGCCTTTCTGCAACAGGGAGGGTTTACACTTGAGTAGCTGCAACACTTGGATGTTTTTCCATGTAGAGGAATCACTGTGGCTTCTAGCAAAATGTCAAAGCTACATCTCCTTTCCCTGGTTTCCTGCTTCTCCTGGGTTCCTGCTTCTCCCAGGTTCCTATCCCAGGTCCTTTTTGCTCACTACATTTTAACTGACATTCAAGTGGTGAGAATCTCTCTTGAAGTGTTGACTGGTAACAGTGTACCTCTCTAGGGTAATTTGCATTTTAATAGGCGGTGCTTTAAACCTAAAATAATAAAAGTTGACTTATACTGAAAGTGAACTATGCTATGGGTGCTGGCTAACTGCCTTTTATGAATGTTCTTGTTAATTTACAGAAAGATTCAAAGTTAGGAACTATACCTAGTTTACTCAGTCAACAGTAAGTGCTGGAGCTGGGATATAAAATTTGGAGATTTAATTCCAAAGCCTAGGCTTGTGGACACCAAGCAATGCTACCTCGAATGAAAGTTCACCTGTGAAATATGAGGCAGATCCCCCAACACTGGAAGGCATTTGGGCCCCAGGAGCCTGCCTAGGACACTTGCTCCTAGGCTGTTTTTGGCTGTCCTTTGAAAATGAACTCCTTAGCAAATCTTTTTTGTAACAGTAGCTATCCTGTTGCTCTGGGCAGCAGACCCAGCTTACTACAGAGCTGCAGGGACCAAGCTATTCCTTCAGGCTTTGAGGGTGTCTGTTGCTGCTACAGAAAGCCACCCTGCCAGTTATGAGCTTATGACACTATAATCAGGACTACATTACCAGAGTCCACCCTACTGGCCCTTTGTATCTGAATCTTTCCAACACAACCTCTGTTTTATTAGTGCTGTATTAGTTACCAGGGAGACTACTGAAGAGCTTATGCATTCTCCAGAGAAGACTGCTGGTGTCCCTGCAATGAAATAATGGAGGTGAACGATATATGTCAGTCAAAAATTCTTGATTCCCTTTTCTTCACATTCTATGACTTAACATGTTGTAAAATGATGCAAACAGTATTACAAATAAGAATACATTTTTGACCTATCAGGAAGATAAAGAAGTATCTTATCTCACTTGCTATTTTTTTAGTCAGCATACTATTGTACACTGTAATAAACACATACACATACACACACAGGAATTGCTTATTTCTATGTATGAAAATTGTCTATTTCCTGGTCCATTTCAGCAAGATTTTGCCTTATAAATTACTTTAAAGGTGATGGTCAATGTTTGAGGAGGGACCCCCCCAAATGGAATTTATTTATTAAAAATTGTATATTTATTCTTACATGTTGAAACTTCAGTCAGCTTCCAAGTACTCTCCATTCGATGTACTACACCTATCGACATGTTTTTAGCCACTGCTCAAAACAGTTTTTGAACTTGTTGATTTTGATGCCTTTAGTGCTTCTGCCATTTTTTGTTTCACATCTTTAACAAGGGCAAAACATTTCCCTTTGAGGACTTTCTTCATCCAGGGAAACAAAATTAAGTTGCTGGGGGAGAGATGAAGTGAATAGGGAGGGTGGGCTTGGGAGTGTTGCCACTTTTGGTCAAAAACTGTTAAACAGTCAGCATGGTGTGGGCAGGTGTGCTCGTATTGGGTTATCCAAAAATCTCTTTAGTTTTTCCCATAGAGTAAAAGATACATTTTCCATTCTCACCAATAACTTTACCGATTTGGATATTTTGAGTATGTCAGCTACCTCCTGCCTTTGGCTTCTAGCAGGTAGAGGCCAGGTGTACTGCTAAACACCTTTGAATGCATCAGCCCCACAGCAAAGACTTATTTGGCTACAATGTCAGTAGTACCAACACACTTTGCAAATCATTCTTGACACATTCGATGAGTCACAGCACCTTCTCCATATACTGCACGGCATTTTTCTTTTGAATTTTAGTTGTGCTTTTACCTTCCTTGAAAAAAATGAAGCATAATTCACCAAAACTTTTGCATATCTTCTTCCATCTTCAATATTAAAATGACTACACAAAAATTTACAAATTTTTATAAGTTTTTTTAAATGCATGCTCATATGGCAGCTGACACAATATAATCTAACGAAATTATTTTGAATGAAGTTGAAGACAGCTAAGCACTACTAGAGCCATCATAGAGAAAAAAACTAAATGAACTTTTTGTCCAACCCACTAAAATCACTCACCATGAAATGGGCAAACACATTGAAAGAGTCTTCAAGAAAAATTCACTGAAGCTGAACTCAGCCTCTCACAACAACGCCAGCAGGTACCCTGATACAGGTGGGTTCCTAAAACACTCACTTAGCAGGGAAAGCCTGTTCTACAAGTGATCTGCCTCCAGAAGATAATTCTGGGGTTTTTTGGGGGGGGTCTCCTCTCATATATCTACACCTTGCTCTTTGATCACACTTTTTAACACATTATCCTTTAGGATGTCATAGAGACCATCTCTTAGGAGTCAGCATGATGGGATAGGGGAGTACAGGTGTGGCCTTCAGTAGCAGAAAGACCCAACTGTCCACAGCTGCACCCATGGGCACATTCAGTGCAGAGCAGTGCTTCAGATTAAGCAACTTGCCTATTAGGCATCAGATACAAACCAGTCTAAGTGTGAGCATTTTCTACAGCCAAAGACCATGCCTTCTTAGTCCAAATTACATATGTTTTCCTTTATTAATTATTTAACCCTTTCTTATTTCCAAATTGGATTTGAGATAACTTATAATATGCATGTCATGGGACCATTTAGTTGAGGATAAACACTCAAATGCTTTGGAACAGAGTTTTTCTGCAAAATTAGGTGCTGTTCCTTGCTGTGGTTTGCCCATAAATGTAACTCTGAGCTTTCTGTCAGCCAAAGCCAGAAGGGAAACATGATGAGTTATACAGGAAAAATACATCACTATGAAAGGAAATCATACTCATTTATAAAGATGGACAAACTTTTTTTGCTGGTATTAAAATTTTAGGAAAATTTATTATGTGCTTCTTTATATAAGGGCCTTTCAACACACTAATGGATAGTATGTATAATAATAGTTTCAGGGAAGATGGAGATCTAGTCTTCATGTACTTATTTCCATTATCAACCTTCAAAAAAATCTGAGGGTGTGGTATCAAATTCAATTCTCTAAGGGTATTTCATGTAATGATAAAAATTCTTCTACTTCTAATCCACAAGTAAAATAATACCATGCAAAGCTAAAATCTAAAAAACTTTTTCAAAAGTGCTCAATGAACGAACATATGACAATGAATAAAGTAACCTAAATGGAATGAGTATGAGTTGTCATACAGTTTATGAGTAGCTGAGGGGTAACCAGTAATCACGGGGCCTTGTACAGGTTCGCTAACAACACATGCAGGCCCTAAGAATAAGCTTTACCAGCAATGGTTTCTCAACAGGATTCCCCCAGCCCTGTCATTTCAAAGTGGGTGCACAAGAGTGTCGACCAAGTGAACAGGCTCTAAGCACCTGACTTCACCCCTTGTACTGGTTCCCTGAATTGGGTTTTCACTTAAGATTTCATTTTAAACAGGGTTTCTTTTGCTTTAAACAAAGTACCATATATCTGCTTTTAAAAACAGTTTAAAAAACTTTTCTGTTACTATCAAAGTAATGCCTATACAGGGTGGGGCAAAAGTAGGTTTACAGTTGTGAGTGCATGAAACATAGGACTTGTTCTTGTATTGTTATTTATTAATTATTATATTATATTTCCACAAGAACAACTGTAAGCCTATTTATGCCCCAGCCTGTACATCATAGAAAATTCAAGCTCATAGAAGGAAATAAAATTTGAATTATCTGTTCTTACTATCTATTAACAACTATTATTAATAGCCGTCTGGGCCCATCTAATCATATGTATATACACACACTTGATTAAATATACACATGCATACATTACTTATTTTAAGTTACTTGCTTTTCTCCACTTAACAATTTATAGTAAGTGTTTTTCATAACATCAACTATTCTTCTATGTTGTTATTTTTAATGGCTGCCTACTGCCATATCATATCAATTTGCCATAATTGATTATACCAATTTTTAATTGCTTACAGTTTTCAATGTTATTAATATAACTGCAATGGTAATCCTTATAGATTGATGTTTGGATTTCTATTTCTATAATTGCCTAAAAATAATGTTGCTGAGTTCATAAAAAGGCTAAAATTTTAATGTCTCAGAAAAATTCATCCAAATACCTCTGAAAAGTTTGTGTCCCTGTGCCCTTTCATCAGCGATGTAGGGGAGAGCCCGCTCACTCCCACCTTCACCGCTAGATACTGGATACTAGATACTAGATACTAGAGATGTGTATCTTAGTCACAATAAGTTTTAGGAGCTCTTTTCTATTAAGAAAATGAGCATTTGATTGCCACGTAGGCTATAAATATTCTGCAATTTGTGGTTTTACATTTTAAATATGTTTTATATCTTTAGGTAAGGTAAAAGGTTAGTGTAGATGTTTTCAATTTTTCTGTGGTTAATTTTATCACCTCTTTACAAAGCCTAAGTTTTTATTAATTTATGTTTAGAAAGCC